CTAAAGGTATCTCGGCTTTGGAGCTGGATACCCAGTGGACGACCCAGCGCACGCGTAAAACCAACGCTATATCCGCGTTGTGCTACATGTTGGTAATATTTGTTTTTATGTTGGCACTATATTACCTTGTCCGCGAGATGCAGGAGAAGCTTGCACAAAGGAGACGGTCCGTTGTCCGAGCCCCGCCGCCGCCGCCAAGGGATACGACTATCCGTGGTATTGTCGAATCATATACCGAAAACCTTCGCGACTCTGCGCATGTACTAGAAGACAAGTACATAAAACCAATTGGGAATAGACGGCAGTCGTCATTTTATGAAGCGGACGAAACAACATTGGCGTCGCCGCCCCCTGATCGAAGATCTTCTAGCGCAACAAAAGAAGCCGTGGCGGTGGCAGCCAAGTTTAAAGCAAGTAGCAGCTTACCCAGTAGTGACAGCCGCACTAGGTCGCAATCCATGTCGGAGGGAACATCAACCACAATTGACGGCGACAATGCAGTCGCCACAGCCGCAAGGCGGTTTAGTCATGGAATTCTTAAAGGTACTGGGTTCAACAGAGACGCCGGTAGTTTTACTAACAAAGCTCAAAGAGTGAGCCGAAAGATAACACTTTCTGCGCCTACGCCAACATTCCTTGCATTGCGGTCAAACGATGGCTTGTCGGTCAAATTTTCGGACAGCATCGACGAGTACTCGGATATATATAAGGATTTGGATGCTGACGAGGAGGATAACCAAGTCGAACTGTGTGCTATTGAGGAATGTGCCGAAGATGACGACGACGCCCTAAACAGCAAGCAAATACGCGACAATTCTGGTGAATTGAAAGTTGTAAACTAAAATGCTTTTGTGTCTAGCCATTTCGCTTACTCTTGGCCAAATAGGTTACTTAAATTGGATAAGAGTAGAGTTAATACTATTGTGACATGTATCCAAGCCGAGCCAATACAAAATCATGCTACAACAGTTTCGCCTTGGGCCCTGGTAGTATGACAATATATGCACCTCACATGTTGTTCACTTATGTCCAAACGTAAAACATCAAAAAGTATCGTATGCCCCTGAAGGTTATTCGACCAGTCCTTTTTTGCAAAAGTGAAAATGAGTACCAAAAACGACCGAAACACGCCTCAGGCAAAAAAAGCACCAACAAGGACATCAAAGTCCAAAAATGCTGGAAGAGGGATTCGAACCCTCGCCTCTTGCGAGAATGCAACTTGAGTGCATCGTCTTAGACCACTCGACCATCCCAGCTCAAAACATTTCCGTGATTCAGACGTAAATTCGCCCAAAATATGCTTTTTGTTATAACGCTCAAAAGAAGTAAACCTGCAGTCGCCCCACCCTTGTTTAAAGCCTTTTTTTTTTTTTTTTTATTAATTTTACCGCCTAACCGGCATTGCGGTCTTAAAATATAAGGACCCCCAGATTTCCATGGCAAGGCTTTTCTATTTTTAATTGTTTTGTCAAGGTTATCCAAATATACCTGCGCTAAGATGTTGCGCCAAATTTTTTTGACTAATTTAAACGCTTTCCAAGTCTTCTAATCCTCTTATACTTTACTAAAAAAAAAAACCCTAGGCTACGCCAGAATTTTAACCAGCACAATGTTGGTATTCTCTTGACCTGATATGAGTATTATGTTTGAGGTACTCGTAGCTAGAAGAGTTTTTAATTATTATCAAATGGATAGTTTGCCCAGGCGAAGACCTGCCTTGATAGAGCCCCACCAGGAGTCGCTATATGCAAAGGCAACGATCTGCTGAGTGAACTGGTATCCCTTCTCGGAGTCCTGGATCGGGTAGTCGACAATGGGAGGAATGGGTGTCTTGATAAATGGGAAACGGTCCTCGGTGAATGACTTCTCCACACAGAGCGCACGCAAGCCTTCAGGACCAGCAAACCGTCCAAATCCGCTGATACCAACACCGCCGAATGGCAGCGACTGACAAATATAGTTGACTCCAAAGTCGTTTACGTTGACCATTCCGGTACGCAGTGCCAGAGCCACGCGACGGCCGCGAGTGCGATCGCCCGAAAAGACGCTGGATCCAAGACCGTAGGGCGACGAATGGACCTTATCTAGGGCATCCTTCTCGTCTGTAAACTTCATCACTACCATGATTGGGCCAAACGTCTCGTTGCGTGTGATGTCCATGTCTGGCGTCACATCTACAAGCAGGGTGGGCTCAAAGTACTGGCCATTTGGATGGAGAGGGTGCAGATGACGATGGCCGCCCACCAGGCAGCGCGCGCCCTTGGACACAGCGTCCTCGATAAGCGCCTCGAGGCGATCGAAGCAGTTGGCTAGGACCATTGCGCCGCAGTCGACTGTGTTTGGCTCATCGTCAAGGATAGAGCCAACTCTGACAGCTCTGACTCGGTGGGTCATTTCGTCGACAAATTTGTCATAGATCGTGCCCTGCACAAGGATACGCTCTATGCCAATGCAGTTCTGTGATGCATTTTGGATAACACTGCGCATCAGTACCGGCACGCACTGGGTCATGTCAGCGTCGGCAAACACAACGGCACAGTCCTTGCCACCAAGCTCCAAGGTGACAGGCGTCAGATTGGCGCTGGCAGACTTCATCACAAGCTTGCCAACCTCGGGAGAACCAATGAAGGTGATGTGGTCGATGAGAGGCGACGAGGTGACAGCGGATCCGATGTCGACAAATCCAGTGACAAAGTGGACGAGATCCGGGTCGTGGCCGCAGACGTTGAGCGCGCGCTTGACCATTTGCTCCCAG